TGTTTGAATGGAACAGAGGCGAAGTTTCTTATTTAAACATAAAGTGTACTTTTGATTTTGGCAGACATGTTTGCTTTTAAAACGCCTTTGGTCGTCTTAAATTTTGACAACAAAACAAGAACGAAAGTCGTAATGAAACACATTTTATTAACGAATTGTAGCTTTTTTGCTTTAATGAAGTTTATATACTACAGCTTCAAGTAATGTTGATAAGTCTTTTTTTTAAAAAAAAACAAAAAACAATGCTACATCAGTTTCATTTGAATATTGAAAACTGCTATAACAGTCTGCAAAGCTTTCAGACAATTAAAGGGAATCTTTGAAAAATTTTAGCACGACATGGTAACTCATTCTCACTACTTATTTACTCATGCGCAAGGGATTTATTTAAACATACACATGTCACCTCTGTACTACCTTAGTTTATTTTTATAATAAGAAATAAATTTTATTGTAATGGTGCACTTTATTTCAATAAGTCATTTTCAGTTATTTATAATTAGAATTTTTTGTCATAAATTTATTATACTTTGCTTTTGTTATATGAACAGTATTAGAGTAGTTTAAACTGTTTTCGATTTTTATTATTTTTATTCATGCACTGTTTTCATTAAGAGTATATAATTTTTCAACTTGTTGTCAGACGATTATAAAATATCTATCGTTTATCCTCTACACACTTATGATTGTTTCATAGTAGTTTTTTATATGCATATAGACAAAACGTAAGTATTTATTAGAAATAACAACTTCAATTTTACTCTTAGGAAATTCAACAGTGGAAAATAATTATAAATACAATGACACTACTTTCATATAAATCTTATAAATGTTTATATTAGCACAGTTAGTCATGCAAAACCACTACATATACATTATAGAAACTATAACCCTAACCTCCAGGTAGACTATTTGTTAACTGTTTGTCTATACAGCATGACTTATTCAAGAATCAACTTAATTTATATGTGAAAATGTGGGGAAATAAAATTTGTCACTGGCTAGGAAAACAATCACCGTAAAATCATACAAAGAATTTTATTGTCGATATCCTTCAGAAGCAATTATCAATGAAAGGTTTCTTCAATCTTCGACTATACGTTTTACAGGAAAAGAAAGGGAATTTGTAATCAAATCAAATCAATATGTTAACAAAGCGGCAACATGTCATTCTAAATGACTGAATAGAATAATTTAAATTGAGATCAATTACTATTGAAACAGAGTACAATTGCAAATAATTGTATCAATTCCTGTTTGATTCACACTCTTCAGTTTGCAAAATGCAATTTAATGCCAAGTGAGGTATTACCCCATAGTCTGTAATTATGTACAGAAACAATTTTAAGTCGATAGTTTTGTATGCTGTCTATTTACCTCATATATTTATAATCATTTATTAACTTTTGAAGTCATATTATATTGTATTGTGTGTTATAAAACGTGCCATGCATTGAATGAAAGAGAAATATTACTTGTTTCATGTATACTCATATGTCGAGCATTTCTCTTCAGTTCAATAAAGTCGTGTTTTGTTTCTGTTATGTTCTGTTAAATGATATGCTTTATCGTTACAACAATATCTGGTATAAAACAGAAGTACAAAAGCGAGGAAGTAAATGTTCCGATCATTATCAAGTATTTCCGGACTAATCAGCAGTTTCAAGTAAACTTTTGGATGAATTATAAAACATGCAGCATAACGTCGGTGGGCTTCGAAAAGGCCCTATCTCAATTTTTGCGAAAATCGTTTTAGGTCATTTTCTTGACAAACAAACCGAGGCGCGCATTGTGCGAAAACACCCGTTTAGATAGCCACTCGGAAAGTGAATTTATTGCCATGTGAGAAAAAGACGTATAATTTTTGGATGAAAAATTTGTTCCGCGAAAATGCCCGATAATTTTTAGGAGTGAAATTAGAAAGTAAAAACGGAGAAAAATGGGATTTTCTTATGAAAGTTTCAAAGATCAGGTATGCTTTTTCTTTTTGACAGTGGAAATAATGATGTGTTTCGTGTAGTATGTAGTTATATGATAAATAAAATCATCAATACATTGGGCAATGGGGATTTCACATACAACGCTTGTCGGCTAGGTTAAATTTTATGCTAAGAAAACTATTTTTAACTTGTTTTTCTTAAACCTTAGATTTTAGTTTCATTCTTTACACCAACATGTATCAAACTGATAAATCTGAGCTACATTAAAGCTGTTTAAAATAACTTTTATAAGAAATAGGGCATTTTCGCATGCTAATTTTTTGGTAAGGTTTGTCTTATAAGGCATTTTCTTATATATTTTGTAAGACAATATTTATGTTCCTTATTTTCATACATCACTTTTATTTATATTTTCAGCATGTTTAAAGATTACAATCACACCCAAGACTGGTAGACATTTATTTTCTCGGACAAATAACATATAGTGTTCTTTAAAAAGGTAATATTTACATAAATAAATATGCAACTACTTGTAAATTTAAATAAATAAATGAATAAATAAATATTTAATTGTCTTAATACCACATAGATTTGCAATTATTTATTTTGTAAGGATTCTCATTAAGATTATAATTAAGAGTTATTTAAAGACCAGGCACGTACTGATAATCATCAGACTTAACTGGGATGTTATGTTAGATGGTTGCTACGTTCATTTTATAATCATTAAATTGTTTTCTACCATTTCACGTTATTACAGGTGTCTGATGACCACTATCTTGATAAATGTTCAATATTTCAATTTTGAATTATTGGACTATTTGATTTGTAACAACTGCAAAGTGATGACAATAACATGTAATCTATTTACAAAAGATGAGAACAACTTCTGCCAGAAATCCTATTTTTGAAAGACTTCAGTGATCTCGTGTGGCTTAAACCGTAGGGAAAGGGCTTGCGGTTTTATCTTACGTGTCTGTTTGACTTCAGTCTAAATGCAACTGAGAAGGTCATTTGACTACACTTTTTCTTCTTTCAAAGTCCAGTAAATGGCCAAGGTCGTCAATCTACAGTAAACTCATTTGAAAAAGAGAAACCGGAACATTATGTGAACAATGCAAAAAGTATCATGGTTTTCTTTAAAAAAATTCTTGGAGAACATCTTGACTGAAGACAATAAAGTAAAAGAAATAGTGATATAGATTTACAGGTGTTGCTACCAATACCAAAAAGTGACACTTGGAAATTCTTAGCAAAGACTTGCAAATATAACACAGAAGCTTATACAATAAGGCCAGGCTCAGATGGAGGTGGGCGTAGTTTATAGTCAAATTGAACGGAAACTTAAAATCACACTTATATTTTCTCTTGTTAACTATGTTTGTTTGATTGGGTTTTACGTCACACCGACACAGTATAGGTCATATATGGTGACGTTCCAGCTTTACTGATTGAAGAAGACTTCAGTTGCCATTCCGTTCATTATTTCAGGCACGGACGGGTACCTAAATAGAACCACAGACGTTCCTTAAGCTATCTGGATAGCTTCCTCACATGAAATAATCCAAAGTCTCTGTCAGGATTCGAACCCATAGTGGTGAGGGAAAGTGCTTTGAAAACAACGGCCACGGATGCTCAATGTTTTAAAACTGCTCGCCCGAGTTACCTATATGAGGTTAAATAACAATGGCATGATTCTTGAAGAACTTTACGATATCGTATGAAACCATTAGACAGGGAAATACTTGTTAGAACAATATGACTTGGTGCTTTTGATGTGACACTTCTAGTGTTTGCTTAATACTTTTTTGTATGTCATGTAGCAGCATATTAATAACATGACTGTTTATTAGAGTTATAGAGAGTTATGATGAGAAAAATGCTAAATGCTTATTTTACGAAATGCTTTGTTTTTAATTGACAGTATATATCCAGATTCATGGTTATTTTCACTAAAATTTTGAAAAGTTTTTGAAATGTTAAAATACTGTGAAGTTAACAATAACAAAATGAAACAAAGTTCAAACAGCACTTTACATATCAAATAGAGAACAAAATATGAAAAGGTAGCACCTACTGTGTTAGTCTTGCAATAAAATTTTGTAATAATAATGTAAAACAGTAATTAATGGACCAAAAAATGTAAATTTTTACTTAAATCATTATACTTTCCTTCAAATTGTTTTACATTTTTTTAAAATGTTTTGCTTATCTGAAGGCATGAAGCTCTTAGAACTTAAGAACTTGGTATTAGGATTGATGTTTTTTATCTGTATGGTAAATAATAGAAAAGGTAATATTGGTTGTTTGGGCAGTATACTTTTATTGGTGAAGCCAAATTGACTACATATTAAAAGGTTTTATGTTTCGGAATGTTTGTAGTTTTTTGTTTCATTTTTTAATATTTCTTGTCGTCTTAAAACATAATAACACTTTATTCTTAAAATCCTTGAATTTCTTTAGGAACATTGATGAATAGTACTGGTAAATGTGTCTCGTAATGCCATTATGAACCTAACAAGAGTATGTTAACGTGTGCGAAAGGGCCTTATAAGGCCATTTGAGACCCCTATTTGGCCATTTTTGCCATGTGAAAAGGACGTATGGGCATTTATTATGAAACAATAGGGTTTATCATAACCAAATTAAATGTATTTAAAATGAATTTAAATGTTCATTTTTATCTGTTAATTTCATTTCTGTATGTGTTTCCATGCCAAAACTAAACGGTTTTTTCCATCTCCTGAAAAGTAGCACTTTTGCAGATAAGGCCTTTTCGAAGCCCACCGACGATAATTGATAATAAATGAGCATTCGATAATAACATACACACATTTCACAACTTTTGCGTCAAAACAATTTAAGTATGCATGTTCAAAATACGTATCGGAACATCTGATGCTAAAATTGAAAATGGGAAATACTCATTGAACATCAGAAACGGAATATATAACAATATGTCTTGTGAAAATGACATGAAAAAAATAATCACATTTACACATGCTACATGTCAATCTGATATCAATTGTCCTTTCCAAACATATCAGTATATAATTGTTGTAGACACATATATATGGATTAAAGATATTCACAAAGTGCTTTAGCCGGTCCTACACAGAAGCCATCATCCCATTTGTTTACATAGTAACCAATGTATACACAGTCGTGACCTTGCGGCTCATTGGGCGCCCAAGCCTGGAACAAAATATAGGTACGTATTCAAAGTGTGTCTATGACAATTTGGGGAAAGTTCTCAAAAGACATTACAAATAATTGAATTTGATGAAGATTGCCAACTTGGTATGAGTTTGTTCATAAGCTCAGAGCTTCTTAAGCTAATAGCTTTATAAAATTGACTTTGAAGAAGCACGTCTCCTTTGAAGTATTTTAGCATCTTAAAGCAAAGATTGCCCTGAATATGCAGCTTTTAAAACATTCAGTATCATTTTATTCAAACAGTAAATTATGTTTTACATTATCGTTAATTCTTTCTATATGATTTTTCTTACTTAAAAGTAATCGGTTTACAATTGGTGCATTTTCTGTAAGTGTTACAAATATTGATAAAAAAACAATATAGAACTGTATCATTTGGATATTCTCATTGTTATGGGATGGATTGTTTATACATAGACATAACGTCCGGTACTTTTCTGCGATTTTTAAATCTATTAATTAAAGGTTTCAGATAGTGTTGATTAAGAATCGTATATAATATGAATGTGAATGACTTCTTATTAGAGGTTGGTTGCTTTAATTGATGGATTGATGTTTCTATTTTTTTCATCATTACATCATTTGTTGTTATTTATTAGATAATGAAACTGACATTTACTAATAGGGGTTTGTTTACGAATGGAACATACGGACAACATTCAGAATGGAAGCCGATAATAGAAATTATCAAAACAAACAAAACATTTTAGAATAATTTGTACCAAAGTAAATAATCAAAATGAAAAACGAAAGGCTATTTGTTTTGTAATATCTTTTCCATGTATCAAAGCAAGTCATTTTTATCGATTCTTTCATGAATGTCCAACAATTAAAAGAAAAACACAGTCGCAAACTGTTGCGTTCTTTTTACTCTTTTTGTGAATTGAGCAGTTTTGAGTTGTAGCCCTTGTTATGTCAAATATATATATAGAGAGAAAAATGACCGAAGCACCTGTGGTTTCATTAACCTTTTCAATTGTATAGTGTAAATCTAGACAAATAATGAGAATTATTTTAAAAAGAAAAAAAACACGGTTTATTTAACATAAATATGAAGTCATAAACGCTCAGGCAACCGAAACGTCAAATTTAAAAACGTCATGTAATGTTAAAGTCGAACACGATAACGTAACAATAATTGGTCAAACTATTATGACATTATGGATTGTGCTTGTTCTTCGGTTATTAGATTTTGCTTTTTTATTGCAAAATAGAAGAATAAAAGTAATATGAACACGTAAATCCGAGTAACGCAGTGGTTAGAGGGTTCAGATTATGAACATGGTTTTTCGAATTCAATCCTGCAATTGTGCACAATTAATAAGTATGGTTTTTATTTCAGAATATATTTGTTATAGTGTGTCACAAAACTTTTCATTTATCGCCTTAATCACGACGGATTTGTCTAATTCTTAACCTGTTGAATGCGAATGTGTGTATAACAAAATATTCTCAAATAGCATTGTGTGAATGAAATTCACGGACAATTTAGTTTCGGTTCGTTGTAAAATACCGACAATAAAAAAAAATAAGAAATAATGCCTTTTTCAGGATTCGAGCAAGTGTCTCTTCACTCACAGAGAGATTTGGGCTGAAGATGCAATTTGCATGAAAACATTCGTTATGTTATACGGAAATAGACCCTTAGATTTGAAAAAATACTTAAAATATGGTAAACAAGATCTGGTAAAGCATATTTGTTGACTTTATGACGCAAAGGCGGAGTTTCTCATGCAAACATAAATTGTATGCTTTTGATTTCTCCACTATGAGGTACCAGATATTTACGCTTATGGATCTTATTTTGGTCGTCTTGACACCAAAATTAAACGGCGCTCGATATGAAATGTAGCCATTTCTGTTTTTTATGAAATCTATAAAATGCAGCTTGAAATTTAGCAGTTGTAAATAGTTTATCGTCAGATATCTAACTATATTTTATTTTTATTCTCTATCATTTACTTCCTAACTCCTTTTTCTTAAGTTTTGGTTGTCGATTTTCACTGTCTTAACATGCATGCTCTTATAAATATATCACAGTTAATATAAAGACATATACACTGTAATTTTGTGTCACATATAGCATTTGTATTGTAAGTATATTTTTATGCATTCGTAATATGTTTGAAAATTATATACATATATTCAGAATAGAACAACAATTCTTAAGTAAAAGACAGTTTCATAAATTGACAGTGTTTATTTGACACTTGTGCTTAAAATGCAATTTTTATTTGTCATTATTTACAATCTAAATTACTATTATTATAATGCATATGAACATTTATTGTTAATTGTTTATAACTGATATTATGATATAAAGAACATAATGTGATGAACAGTACATTGATACATACAGTGAACCCAGAATTAACACTTCTACCATCATCCCATACGCAATTCGTGCCAGCGGAACAAGTCATACCGATCCAATGGTTAAATCCTGTGAAAAATAATTATTACATAACAAATACATATCTAACAAGAGCACCGCTAGGCGGAACATTATATGCTCGAAAGTGATTTTTTAGGTAAAGATGAAGCATTTGTAAGACATGGGAAATAAATAAAGTATTACCTCCTTCAAATAACAATCCTCCTTTAAAGTTCCAAATGGAACTTAAGTTATGCCCCAGAAACTGTTTTCAATTTCTAAGTAATAGTGACCTTGACTTTGACCTTGTGACCCCAAAATCAATAAACGTCTTCTACCCAATATGGACAATCATCCTATGAAGTTTGAACACTGTGGGCCAAATAGAACTTAAGTTATGCTCCGGAAACTGTTTTCAGTTCTAAGGTAATAGTGACCTTTGACCTTGTGACCCCAAAATCAATAGGGTCTTCTACCCAATATGAACAATCATCCTATGAAATTTGAACACTGTGGGCCAAATGGAACTTAAGTTATGCTTCGGAAACTGTTTTCAGTTCTAAGGTAATAGTGACCTTGACCTTTGACCTTGTGACCCCAAAATCAATAGGGGTCTTCTATCCAATATGGACAATTATCCTATGAAGTTTGAACACTGTGGGCCAAATGGAACTTAAGTTATGCTCCGGAAACTGTTTTCAGTTTTAAGGTCATAGTGACCTTGACCTCTGACCTTGTGATCCCAAAATCAATAGGGGTCTTCTACCCAATATGGACAATCATTCTATAAAGTTTGAACACTGTAGGCAAAATGGAACTTAAGTTATGCTCCGGAAACTGATTTCAGTTTTAAGGTCATAGTGGCCTTGACCTTAGACCTTTTGATCCCAAAATCAATAGAAGTCTTTTACTTAGTATGAACAATCATCCTATGAAGTTTGAATACTGTGGGTCAAATGGAACTTAAGTTATTCTCCAGAAACTGTTTTCAGTTTTGAGGTAATAGTGACCTTGACCTTGTGACCCCAAAATCAATAGGGGTCTTCTACCCAATATGAACAATCATCCTATGAAATTTGAACACTGTGGGCCAAATGGAACTTAAGTTATGCTCCGGAAACTGTTTTCAGTTCTAAGGTAATAGTGACCTTGACCTTTGACCTTGTGACCCCAAAAACAATAGGGGTCTTCTACCAAATATGAACAATCATCCTATGAAGTTTGAACACTCTGAGCCAAATGAAACTTAAGTTATGCTCAAGAAACTGTTTTCAGTTTTAAGGTCATAGTGACCTTGACCTTTGACCTTGTGACCCCAGAATCAATAGGGGTCTTTAACCCAATATGGACAATCATCCTATGAAGTTTGAATATTGTGGGCCAAATGGAACTTAAGTTTTGCTCCGGAAACCAAATTGCTAACGGACGGACGGTCAGACGGACGAACGGACAGACGGACGTTCTCACAGGACAGTAATTATGTGGCTACTCTATTGTTCTTTCTCTTGTTCTTTTTAGCCATACAAAAGAAAATAGCCACATAAAAGCATTACGGAATGAATGACATCAAAGAGAAAGAACAGTTACCTATTGTCCCTCTAGCCACATAATTACTCTCCTGTGAGTGCGGACGGACGGACGGACAGACGGACGGACGCCAGGGGGTATAACATAATATGTCCGAAATTCTTTCGGGCATATAAAAAGGAAAAGTTACTTTGTTAACAGACGTCAAGTAAAAATAAATATCCTTAAAACAAATGCATGCAAAAACAGGATAAAGTGAACTGTTAACAGCTTACTGTTTACGTACATTTAGATCTAAGAAGTTTTTAAAATCAATAACATTTCCTTTGTAAAATAAGTATAGCCAAAATGCCATGCAAATTATGAAAGTAACATTGTGCATTTTTTACATTTTAGATACACATGTAAATATTTAAAGAAAAAAATTCTTTGGACGGAAAAAGTAAGTCCCTGAAAAGCAGAATCCCTAAAGAAAGCCGAACACAACAACATTGAAAATGTTGCAGGCTCGTTTGATTGAGCCGGTTCATGGACGGTACTGTCAAGTGCAAAATACCGTCCACGTCCCCATAATTGAATTTCTGGACTCGATAATTAAACCCACTTCGTTTTAAAACATGGCCATTAGGCACAAAATTCCCAAAATTTTGCAGCAAAACTGTAATGCAACTGACCTGACACTTGTGTTTGTAGAAAATCTATTTCATCTTCGCTTTCAAGAATAACTAGTCTTGCACCAATACTACTGCAGGTCGCCTGCAAAAGAAATTTACGACTGATCAAATTTAAATAAATATATACATAGCATGATATTGTTCATTTAATGGAATTTTAACTTGCACATATCGAATAGTGAATGTTTATGCTTCTTGAACTTGAATAAACGTACTAAATCTTTCTCATTGGTAGTTACGTAGTGCAAAAAGGTCGAGGATCCGATAGTGATCAAAAGAAGGGAATCTTTATTGTGGAATATATTTGCTAAATCCATGTTTACATCATGATGATACATAAACCATTTTCATTTCAATTGGCAATTAGAAGTCTTAGCTATGTAAATTCTGATAACTTTTCAGGAATTTAAACGTTAGCGGCTCGATATGTAAATTGGTGAATATTCCCTAATTTTGAAATACGTTTACTGAACATAATTGAGCTCAGGTTTTGCCTGTTTAATGTATGACGTCCTTAAGAGGCACTGTCAGGAAATGTAAAATTAAGTTAAGTTCTGTTATATGCAATAAATGACACCTGTAGGGTTAGGGTTACCCTTTAACGTGTGGTTTGTGAGTTAAAGAAATTTCTATGAAGTAAAGCTTGGCTATCAGAATGCATTTTTTTCAAAAGTGAGAAAACTATTTAGTCTATAATATCATCATTATAAAAAATGCTTTCCTATTGATCATTAACCTATTGTTAGGAAGGAAATTAAAGAATACAGTTAGCAATTTTAATACGCAATGTGACTGATTTTACTTAAAATATATACTTGATACCGTATAAGTGTTTTTTTTTCTGCGGGCTCCGAATTCTGCAGTGTTTCAAAGTTTTGGCATGTTTTTTTATTTCTGCGGCATATTATTTGGACTAAACTTGTTTTAAATTATGCGGCTCATCTTATCACGGTCTAAGTCACATTACTCCACATATTTTATTTGCATTTGTTTATCGTCATCACTGCAAAACTGTACAGTAATTGCAAACAAATTTATTGTTTGCGTGCACACAAATATAATGCGCAACAATAGAAAAGTAAGAAATGACGTGTTTAACATATATCCTAATAGTATCATTTTTTAAGAAGATTGATATAAATTGAACATCAATCAGACAACAATTAATGTATAGGACGATTATTTAACAGTATAAGGGTTAAAATGGTTTGAAGGATTATGTGGTAAACAAACCTTTCAGCGTCATGGCACTTTATTCATGTAAGATGTATTATTGTATGATATTGAAAAAATATTTACATTATTTATTCATATAAATTATGAATAACTCTCATTATTTTGAACATATATATTAATTACTTGCTTTATAATAATAGTCTGTTCAAATTCCCCAATAACATCAAAGTTATTCTAGTAACTGTCAACAAACCAAAATGTCATATGCCATGTTTACTTATTGAAGTAATGTTTTTTAATACCTCAATCTGAATTTATCACTGTGATCTTAGATTAAAACTCAATATGCTATTTTTGAATCCAGTGTATGATAAATTGAAAAAAGATTGAATAAATAATTATGGTAGGTAGTAAGAGATATGAGCTACTTCTCAAGAATAGTGCATGAATTGTGTGAGTGTGTTTGTGTTTATGTATGTGAGCCCAATTGACTGTATTTATTTGTATTGAGTGTTAATTTGTTTGTTATATGTGCCACAAGAGTCTGTATGTTTGTATTTTGATGCTTGTTGTTTCTTTATAAAGGTTGTGAATATATTTGTATAGTAGGTGCTCAAGTATGCAGGTATTATCCTTATAATACTTTGTGTAATAGATCATGGCGAATTTGTTGTATGTACATAGGGTTGGGTTGTCTGTTTCAAGGTCTGTCTGTATATTATTTTCTTTGTTGTATTTTTCCTTGACTCCTCAAGGCCCCATTTTTATTTCAGTCATGATACTGATAGTATTTATAATACCTATTTATATCTAAAGATAACTGTGCATATTCATATGATAAATTTCAAGAACTCTGAAGTTGTTTCTCCTAGTGATATTGACGAAATAAATACATGTTTATTATAACATCAGCTTTGGAAATGAAATGAGAAGAATACAAAGAATCATAAAATCAAGATTTGACCATATGTATATACATGTATTAGTAATTAATCATGAATACTATATTAAAAGTGTTTCATGTCAAATAAGAAGCTCTCTGTTTTTTTTTTTCGTTTCGCAAACAGAGCTACGAAGTACACGTTTTTAAGATATTATATATATTAATACCTTATACAAATTATATTAGTAAGCACTCTTAAAGGTTTTCGCTTTTTGCTTTCTTTAAGGGTACTTTCAAGCAAACAACTTCATAATTCACTATTTGTTATATTTGTATAATTATTTATGTTTGTAAGCAATATATTCTATAACTAAAACACTGGCAATAACATTGAATATTTGCTCGATAAAATGAGTCGGTATCTCATGTAATAATTTATCTTCTTCGTTTAAAAATACATGCATATATTATATCCTCAAGAACTTTGGCTAACCTAAAACGACGCAGTGAAATATGAAAACAAAGATTTACTCACAATGTAAAGTCGGCCTACTCATCCCTCGTCAATTACGATAATCCACTATAATTTGAATGAAAAACAGCGCACAAATACGTTAAAAATAAACAAGTCTGAATATCTACTTGAAATGACAACATTAAATGGAATATTCGATTCAAGAATTAATGCCATTTGAACGACATGTATCTTTTATTTATTCTTTTGTTTTCAAAATTGTTAAATAATCATGTAATTTAACTTTTCATAAATCCTAGGTGATTCACACCTGAAATAAACACGATGTGTCAATCAGTACGAAAGCTCATGTATTTGGGGCGGTGATAAAAATAAACCAATCAGATAGAGTACTGAAACGAAAATTCCTTAACCACGTGGTCTATTTTAAGATAGGCCATCTGTCAATCAAATGCCCCCTTTGAAAAGCTATTGAGTGCAGTCCCATGGTTTACGCAATAGACTACCTTTATTTCAAAGCAATTTTTTTTTAAATTAACGAAAACTAAAACTAGATTTTTAAATATGATATGTCAGCTTACAAACATAAATCTATATTGTTGTCCTCTATGTGATATACCTATTTTTTGTTTTGTGAAAGCATCACAGTGACCTATTTCTTTTATATGTGTACATATTTGATTTGCTCATGTTTTTGTATATGATACAAACTGAGTGTTATTGTAAATGAATTGAAATTGAGTATGACGTTTAAAAATCTTTATTCACAATAGGTACATCCTTACCAACAGAGAAACATACTTAGCCGACAGTTATTTTATTATTTTATTAGACGAAATAGGTCATTATGTAGGACATCTATCGTAACAGGTTAAAAAACAAATGATAGAGAAATATTCTGCGGTGATTATTTCTGCGGTGCTGAAATTGACCGCCGAATACGCAGAAATTAAGTTACCACAGGGAAAAAAAACACTTATACGGTAAATAAAGATGTTACCATAACCCACCCATTTTAAGCACATTTTTACCTTTTTTCTCCTTATAGAGCCTTTTGCAAAATAGCCTTTAACAAGTTACAGATACGACAATTATAGTTATAAAACAAGATATGTTTGTAAAACATGTATGCCCCCTATCAGCAGCCATTTAGTCATGTGATAAGGTTATTATGCATGACTTCTGACCCAGTGATCAAACAATTAATAAGGGTTATCAAGTATCTACTGGTCATGACCTTAACCTTTGACCCCTTGACCCAAAACTCAATAGGGGTCATCTGCTGGTCACAACCAATCATCATACAAAGTTTGAAGTTCCTAGGCCTAAGCGTTTTTAGTTAATTCATCAGAAACCGTTTTTACCTACAAGGTCAATGTGACCTTGACCTTTGACCCCAAAATCAATAGGTCATCTGCTGGTCATGACCAATCACCATACCAAGTTTGAAGTTCCTAGGCCTAAGGGTTCTTAAGTTATTGATTGGAAACCATTTTAACATACAAGGTCAATGTGACCTTGACCTTTGACCCCAAAATCAATAGGGGTCATCTGCTGCTCATGACCAATCACCATGCCAAGTTTGAAGTTCCTAGGCCGAAGCGTTCTTTAGTTATTGATCAGAAACCGTTTTTACTTACAATGTCAATGTGACCTTGACCTTTGACCCCTTGATCCCAAAATCAATAGGAGTAATCTGCTGGTCATGACAAATCACCATACCAAGATTGAAGTTCCTAGGCCTAAGCGTTCTTAAGTTATTGATCAGAAACCGTTTTTACTTACAAGGTCAATGTGACCTTGACCTTTGACCCCTTGACCCAAAACTCAATAGGGGTCATCTGCTGGTCACGACCAATCATCATACAAAGTTTGAAGTTCTTAGGCCTAAGCATTTTTAGTAAATTGATCGGAAACCGTTTTTACCTACAAGGTCAATGTGACCTTGACCTTTGACCCCTTGACCCCAAAATCAATAGGTCATCTGCTGGTCATGACCAATCACCATACCAAGTTTGAAGTTCCTAGGCCTAAGGGTTCTTAAGTTATTGATTGGAAAGCATTTTTACCTACAAGGTCAATGTGACCTTGCCCTTTGACCCCTTAACCCCAATATCAATAGGGGTCATCTGCTGGTCATGACCAATCACCATTACAAGTTTGAAGTTCCTAGGCCTAAGGGTTCTTTAGTTATTGATCGGAAACCGTTTTTACCTAAGAGGTCAATGTGACCTTGACCTTTGACCCCTTGACCCCAAAATCAATAGTTGTCATATACTGATCATGACCAATCACCATATCAAGTTTGAAGTCCCTAGGCCTAAGGGTTCTTTCGTAATTGATCAGAAACCGTTTTTACCCAAGAGGTCAATATGACCTTGACCTTTGACCCCTTAACCCCAAAATCAATAGGGGTCATTTGCTGGTCATAACCAATCACCATACCAAGTTTTAAGTTCCTAGGCCTATGGGTTCTTTTGTTATTGATCAGAAACCGTTTTACCCAAGAGGTCAATGTGACCTTGACCTTTGACCCCAAAATCAATAGGGGTTATCTACTGATCATGA